GCAACCCCTACAAGGCCATTTATGGATGTTGTATATGTTGGGTCCTGCCCCCACCCAGCAACAGTTGGATAATCGTTGCATTATGCTTATATATAGCCCTGAAATATTACCCCTATTATAGGCTGTTACTGGGTGGGGGCAGGACCCAATGCCTAAACCCTAAACCCTATTCCTTTACCCCCCAAACCTTAAACCCTAAACCCCAAACCCTAAACCCACATGAAGCCGCTGAGGTCAATGCATCTGCTCCAAGGTTTGCTCCGCAAGCAATCTCGTGAGCTTTGTGATGGCATCCTGCAATCTCAAAGGGCTCAAAAGGTGGGATGAAGGAAGGTGGGATGTAGGAAATAAGCCCCAATATAGTAGAGTATAGGGTTTAGGGTTTAGGGTATATACTAAGGATCCTTTAACCCACCTACATCCATTCCACCTTTTGAGCCCCCTGACAATCTGGAGACACTGGCGTAACGGCATATGAGCCAGAGTCTAAACTCCTTAATAAAGGGGGGATATAAGGGATTATATAGGGGACTACTATAGGGGTAATTGAGGGGGATACTAGGAGTTTAGGCTGTAGCTCATATGCATCATAGCCTAAACTCCTAGTATCACCCTTCATATCCCCTAGGGTTTAGGGTTTAAGCATTAATTTAAGATCTAAACTCCCAGTATTCCCCTTAATAACACCTATAATACTCTCCTGTATAATAAACCTATTATAGCTGACATGAATCAAAACAAGAGCGGCTTTGAACTGAGAGCTTTGCCGCCACTTGCTTTTTGCTCTCCTCAGCTGCCAAGGCAATCCGCCATCAATCCTAAACCCTTAAACCCCCCAAATCTCCATAAACCCTAAACTCTTAAACCCCCCAAAACCCCCTAAATTCTCAACTAAACCCTTAAATCCCCAAACCTCAATAAACCCTGAGCCCTTAAACAACCCACAAACCCCAATAGACCCTACACTCCAACTTCGTGCGAGGCAAGGTTCGCGAGGCAGTTCGTCGCAGTTCCAATCTGAAAGCCTGGGGTTTTGTTGAGGAACTTGATTTAAGTCATTATATTGGGGAAACAATCTTAATTACTATATACATACACCCATTATGGGTGTTGTTAAGGAACTTGATTTAAGTTATTTTATTGGGGAAGCCATTTTAATTACTACAGATACCCATTATGGTAACTTAACCCTAGACGCTAAACCCTATACTATGTTCCTACAACCCCTACGAACCCCCAGTAAGAGAACCCACTATGGTAACTTAATTGAAGTTCCCTAACAGCAAGCCAGAAGCGTAATCAACGAGGCTTCGAGCTCGCTCACCTGCACGTTTCACTTCTGGCTTAGGGGTTTAAGGTTTAGGGGTTTAGGGTTTAGGGATTAGGGTTTAGGGATTTAGGGGTTAGGGTAAACTAGTTGAGGGTTTAGGGTTTAGGGTCTTACGGCTTAGGGCTAGGGTTTAGGGTCTTACGGCTTGGGGCTTAGGGTAGAATCTGATGGGTTTTAGGCTTATCGTCTTCCGGCTTAGAGCTTAAAGTAGATTGGAATGAGTGTAGGGTTCAGGGTCTAAGGTTTAGGGTCTTACGGCTTCGGGTTTAGGGCAGATTCTAATGGGTTTGGGGTTTAGGGCTCAGGGTAGACTAGAATGGGGTATATATTGGAATCTTGTATAAACATCAAGTATATGCTGGGATCAAAGCATGATGGTGTATCGACTGGGGCTCTGTGAGGGTGTAATATCTAGGGAATGGAAACGACACCAGAAATTTCTAGGTTATCTCTGGCAGCTAGCCTCCAAGCATGTGTCGACTTAGGCTCCTTCAAATGGAGCCCGCTCGTCTGCAAAGATCACCGAGTTGGAGATGCCCCAAACCCTAAACCCGAAATATGCGGGCCTAAATAGTTACCAATTTCCACTTGAGGTCTATTTTTGAGGCACCATATACTATAATTATACAAGGAGTATGGGACCATAATATTGGTAAGAATTTAGGCCCCTATAATAAGCTGAGGACATTGCCGGCCTTGGAAGTGATATCTGCCATGAGCTTGGCCTAAGCGCAAGACATCTTTCATGACCCTCATGTTCTTGGGCTGATAACTTTTCAATACACGAATTTTCCAAAGTATATGAGCTATAGTCTAAACTCCTAGTATCCCCCTTAATAGCCCCTATAGTAGTCCCTGTATAATCCCCTATATAACCTTCTTTTAAGACTATAGCTCATATCACGAGCCTCCTGAAACCCGCTTGGAGACTGAACACATTCAGAGAGGAGAGGCCCGGGGCCCCGACAACATCAGCGTCTTCGGCCTAGCAGCAGCAGCAGCAACCACCACCATGATAGGTCAACGTTGGGCTCCCCAAAACCCTGAACTGAGTTGCTGGTAAGGAACTGAAGTTCACTTACAACAAGGGAACCCCGTTCTCTACTATATACCCAGAAGAATGCGGTACCTTAAGTTAAGTTCCTGAACAGCAACCCAGTAAACCCTACACCGCAGGAGCTGTTAATAGGCCTCATGCAGACGCAGACCGAGGGATTGGGGTTTAGGGTTTAGGGCTTAAGATTCTCGGTTTAAATGCCCCTTCTACAGCACATTTTAACCATATGAACTACAGTCAGTATTTCCCACATAATCAAAAGACATTGGTTTCCTTAATGGAAGATTATGTTAGGGACTACACTAAATGACCAAAGGTACCCCCAACCCTACACCCTAAACCCTAAACTCTAAAGCCTAAACCCTAAACTCTAAACCCTAAACGCTATACGTAACCCCAGTTTGCACGTTTATTGTGCAGCCGAAAAGCGTCCTGAAGCGACTCACCAAGCAGTTTCATCAGCTCAAGCCGCGGCAAGGTGCGAAAAAGCCTGAAAAACTATATCCTAGTACATGACAGGATATTGTAGTATATTATAGTAAATTCTCATATATTGTAGGATATTACAGTACATTATGGTGTGGCATTTTATGCTACATTTGAATATGTTCTCGGATAACCTAATACATTATAGTATAGTAATATATACATATATTGCATGTTTATATTATACCATAGTATGTCATAACGTATTACAACATATAAAACATATGAAGCTATTGTCATGGCATATTATAACACATTATAATGAGAGCTTCAAAGATCAGGAGCTTTTGGGTTCTAGATGCCACAGATGCTTGGCCAGCAGCCACAGGTCAGCCAGCTGGTGAACCTTTCCAAAGAACTCAAGCCTGCCATCGGATGCTAAGCTCACTGGCAAGGAGGGTTGCTGATGTACTATATGATATACTACAATGTACCATAATATGCACACAAATCTGCTGCAGTATACTGTACTGCAAATATAGACACTATAACATAATGTATTACCATGTGATATACTATATAAAAATGCATGTTAATGTAATGTACCCTCATGTATTCTAACATACCATAATGTACTATAATATGCTAAATTATACTAAATGTGTACATCTATACTTATATATGTACATATGCTATACTATAATGCACTTTTTTGTGCGGCGGAGTGACATCTTCTCACGTCGTTGCTGAACCATAGCCACGGCAGCCTGCATCTCCTGGATCCTTGAAGATGACACACATACACACATTGTCACAGATATTGGTTACAAGCAATTATAGTAGTTTCCATTTTCTTTTCCATTATCCCCATGTAACCCCAATATAACCCTAATGACTCAGCAGCACAGCCAGGAGATTGCAAACTTGGACTGGAAGTCTCTGTCCGCTCCATATACTACATCATTGTCTCCCAGGTTCTGTATCTCCATTCGCTGCACTGCATCGATTTCGAGAAAGTCATGCAACACCTGGGCAGGCTGAGCCTTCAAAAGACTATTACTGAGCGTGACTAGTCGGCAGCCCTCACAGACAGCATCCGCGCACGGGCAATTCTGAGTTGAAATCGAATAGTATACAGATCAATGCGACCTTGGTTTCAGATCAACCCTGCAGCCAGGGCTGAAACATAGTGCATATTTGTGCCAAAGCCTTGCCTTGTTGGTTCTTAGTAGGGAATATAAGCAGTCTATAACACCCTTCTGATGTATTCCCCTTCTAATATTTTCCCTTTATTCCCTACTAACAACCAGTAAGAAATCTTACTTGCGGCCAGGGCTGCTCCTATGCTGAGAATCAATGCTCGCGATGGATCCGAAACCGCAAAAAAACTCAGGATAAGCAGCGGAAGCCCGGCAACAAAGCTGAGCAACAACCTCGGCTGCTTGTATTACGTCGCCATACAATATATCATAAAATATTACTGCGCGCTATAGTACACGATATTATAGTATTGTATATTGAAGTGTATCAACATTTTTCAAACTATGCTAAGGTATGTCGATATATGCTACTGTTAATGTATATTGATAAATGTCTAGAATACATTATAGCTACTATTCTAATGCCTTCTAGTAAGACTGGTGCAACATGTTCCACTGGCGTCAGCCTATAATTACAGCTGCAGCACACCTTTGCCTCAAACTTATCAGGGGTTAGCAGGGAATAAGGGAATTTATCATATAGGGACTATGTAGGGATTGACTGTCTAGGGATCATATTCCCTTATTCCATGCTAACCACCTGTAAGCAGAGGCGGCCGGGCTGGGGGCGATGCCGAACGTGCTCAACCGAAAGCACCTCAAACACAAATCTGCAATGCTCTAGGCTGGCTGCACTACGGTGGAGGTGCTCATCAACGCGAAATGTATGATACAAGCAGCCTTCCAAAAAAGGCTCCATGGATCCATGCTTCAGAAGTCCCAGATTGCAGACGAGCAGCTGTGCACGTGAATACGAAGCCTTTAACTTGGATCGGATAGGGCCCATCTTCTTCGTCTGCCGTTGTCTCCATGCCGATACCACAGCCTTTGATTATGTCACTTGATGACGCTGAGGCATATGTGAAGCCGGAGCCTACGAGATGTCAGCCAAGGTGCCGGGCTCAAACCGGAACCTCGGAGTGTCTGCGAAACATGAGAAACATACTGATCTGAGTTGATCTGATTAACCCTAAATATATACCCTACTATCATGTAGTAGTTTCCATTTCATTTTCCATTATCCCAATATAACCCCAATAGATAAACTCCTTTAAAGGGACCCCTAACATACTATAGTAGTTTCCGTTTTATTTTCCATGATCCCAATATAACCCCAATATAGCTGGTTGTGCAGCCCAGGGTCCACTTCAGCTCGCGAGGCTCTGTAACAGCATCGTGCGACTGGGTTGTGAGGCAGGTTGCTTGGATTGATCCCTAGGTACCTTTAAAGTGTACCTAGGGGTTATTTTGGGTTATGTAGGGGTTATCCAGGTTATGTAGGGGTTATATACGGCTTAGGGTTTCCCAAGATTAGGAGTGGCTCATAAGACATCCAACCATCTTACAAATCTCGCCGCGGGCCTTCCAAGTTGTCTGAGCTTTCAACAAACGGAATGCTTCTGCGAAAGCGACAAGAACATTACACCCGCATGACTCATCTTTAATATCACTTAATGCATGCCAGCGTGCAAAGCTTCCAAACGCTCCCTCTTCCTCATCTGCAGGCTTTTGACTACTCTTCGTTCTCTTCTTGAAAAACCGTGAGATGCCCGTCAATTTCAGGACCTGCAACCAGCGGGAACTTGCTTACCAGAACATACCATGGTGGAGCATCTGGGGTGCGGCCTTTTTTGGCACATGGGTGACCTTCTTCCACTTTTGGCGCCTGTTGCAGCCCAACAGCGTTCATGAAACCATATCTCTAACCTTTCCTCCCTCTTGAGGATATGCATGCAATGCTCTGCAAAGAGCAAAGCGCCAAGTTTACCGGCAAGTTGCAATCCCGAGGTCTTCTTCTTGGCTTCCTGGCAACAACAGGCAAGAGCAAACTGCATTTAGCCTTCCTGAAGTTTTACATAGTGGTACTATAATAAGCATCTTCATTATGATAGTTATTATGGTAAGGATAATGAATTCTAGCACTAAAAACCAGACCTTAGCAGGGCCAGGACTCCTCCACCTGATGGCTGAGAAACTTGACCTCCTTTCCCTTTGCTCGATTTCCCACGAGCTCCTGGGATGTTACTGGAAATCCACACGCCATGGCCTTTGCAAACATTATAGCACAAAATAAAATATCATACTATCTTGTAGTGTTTTACAATACATTATACTTATAGCATATTATAGTACATTCTAAAAAATACAATACGTCACAAGTAGCACACAGTATAGTCTAGCATGTTCAAAAATGTTGAGAGTGTCGACGATGGGGGGGATTAAGGGTCCGCGGCCACTTCCCCCACTTGCCCCACTTGACCCACTTGCCCCACTTGCCCCACTTGACCCACTTGCACCCGCTTGCCCCACTTGCACCTGCTTGCCCCACTTGCTTCACTTGGCCCACTTGCCCCACTTCTCCCCTCATAATGTGGCCCCCTCAACTCCTGCGCCGAATCCAGACAAGCCACTTGAGACCCCCAAACCGAGCCCCTGTGCCCCACTCGCACCACTTGGGCAAGTGGGTCAAGTGGGACGGACGCCTTTAATGTTCCACCCCGTGCGGTCGCTATGCAAATGTTCACCTATTTGACTCATGGAAATCCTGTGGGAGTCAATGGTCTCTGTTGCCTCTCAAATCTCTTTTGAGGATGTGCTCTTGTGCAAGGATTGTACACTTCATGGCTGTGGCTCGAAATTCTGTCGCGGCTCTCCCCCCAACCCCCTGTTACATACCCCTTTGTCACGGCCTGTTGTTACATACCTTGATCGCAAATGCTTGGCGCAGGTACGGCCAGACACAACATTGTAGCAACGGCACTTGTCGCTGGCCAAGAGATTCTGTTACAAGCCTATGCCGCGAAATGGTCGCCCAAGCCCGTTACAAACCCAGGGTTTATGATTCACTGCCATATGTATATATATACATATATGTATATGTATCTGTGTATCTATTATTTGGATACAGAATTTCGGCCGCCTTCCAGAAAAACAAAACGTGCAATCCGACCTGGTTGGCTGAGATCGTTTTGGCTATGATTGAATTCCTGGCTCTGCTTCCGGACCCGTAGGTTGATACCAACGCATGTTCGCCAGAAGATGCAATGCCACTAGCTAAAATCGTGTCCACGCAATACATGCGAGCGTCCGTCTAGACTCCTTGTCTAAGGTAATGGACGCCTCACGAGGAGTGTCGCTTTACAGGGTTCCCCGTCGCTTTACAGGGTTTCGTCGGCATAGACATTGCAAATCAAGAATACAGGTGTCGCTTTGCATGTCGGCAAAGTTGATAGTGCACTGTAAGGACTTTTGAATTGCAGGGTGTCGGTTTTCAGGCTTCCTCAGCCTTTTTGCATTCCGTGTCCAACCGTTACTTGCTTGCCATACGACGAGTTTAGAAGCTCGCTCACGTGGTAACCATCAGTGAGACTTTTCGGACCTACAGGGGGAAGATTGGCAACCGAGGTTCAGCGACCTGACCGGGTGTGGAGCACTTCTCTTGCAATTCTTCTGTCGTTGCCAGGATGTAGGGCTCCCCGATTGGATCCACTGAGCCTTAGAAGACTTGTGCCACGTTCCTGATGCCTGTGTTGCCTTACAAACGGCAGGGGCGCATTCTTTGAATATCTCGAGGTAGGGAATCATGAAAGATATGAAGCTCCTGGGTAGGAAGCACCGCATGACAGAACATGCGTCTCAATCTGTGGGCGGCTCGCGTGCTACTACAAGTGCCGAGACTCTGCGTTGAGATGCCTGCAGCAGATCCAGACAATCTCCTGGCCATGCCCTTGAGGAGGAAGGCATGAAAATCGCGCCTTTCCAGGTGAATCTGGTGTGACATTTGATGGCGATACATGGTGCATGGCTTTCAACGAAACTGCCAAACATGCAAACGGCATTGAGCATTGTTGGTGGCCTGTGGGAATCCAAGCCCCGCTCTGCGAGCGCAGCCTCACACTGAAGCACCGCGCAGCTGCAAGCAAATACAAAGCAGGAATTAGGAACCAGCTATACTGGGGTTATGTTGGGATAATGGAAAGTAGAATGGAAGCTACTATAGTATATTAGGGGTTCCTTTAACGGGGTTTATAGGGGTTCTACTGGGGTTATAAAGTAACATAGAAATATAACAATATAGAAGCACGAACCATGCATGCCACCCACTTCAAGCACAAAAGCAACGTCAAACTCGCCATCAACGTGACAAACCTGCGTGTCAGCGGATTTGTTCAACATGGCATCCAAATCAGTGACTGTCTCATTGAAGGTCTGCGACACTTGATGCTTGCCTCACTTGGGAGGAAAGTCCGTCAAAGTTCATGTAATTTGTGTGTAGCTGCTTACGCTTTCTGATGACCAGGGGCTGGCTTGCAATCTGACGGATCGCGTTTGCAAATCAACGCCTGCAAATCGACATACATGCTTGTTCTCCCAAGGCATACATGAGGTTATCTGAACTAACATGTGTCAACACTCATGTCCGAAAATCTCCTCCTTGTGAACCGAGACACTGTACTCGACCAAGTGCTTGAAGAACTGCTGCAAACAAAACAGGCCATACGAAAAGCATAGGACAAACACCTCGGATCACGTTGAAAGCTGCGCTAGTGGCAAACACTTGCGTGCGTTACCTGTGTGGTACTAATGCTGGCCCAGTCTCAACAATGTCCGTGTTGGTGTGTTGGACGTTGTACCAATTTCGATATTCCATGATAATGCGAACCATCAACATCAAGGTTGCGCCAGTGCCCACCAGAAGCACAAGGTGTGGAAGACTATGGATAACCCGGATGTACGTAGGCACATACCTGAATCTGCGGGCTATCAAGTCCAAACAACTGACTAAGATATTGCTCTAGATGTTGCTTCGCTGCGCGTGTGGAAAGTCAAGGCGCTTGTACTTCGAAGGTGCCAAATTCCTCAGCTGACCATGCGTCAGCATCCTTTTTTCCTCCACACAACCGCTCGAATTATCTTGCAAAAAAAGATTCTCGCGGATGTAGTTCCCTTTTGGGGGCCAGATACCATGATAAATCCGAACGCATGTCAAAAATGACCTTTGTAAATGAAGCTCCCTCCGAGGTGCCCAATGAAACGGAAAGGCTCCATGGGAAATGCCCAACCATGCTGAACGGTCGTCGATGCATCTGCTGTCTCAGCATCCGCTGGTGATGCAGTAGCCTTCGGTCCGTACTGGTTGCTGAAAATTGTTTTTCAGCACTGACGAAATGCAATAAGACTGCGACATCATAGGCTGGCACTTCGTCCGTTGTTAGCTTTCGCGTCCTTAGCGTATGCCGGACCCATGTGCGTCAGATGCTAGCATACTTGACCACCATGAAAAATGTGAAAATATCATAAACACACCAGCATGACTGGAATCCCGTATGTTTTTTTTTTTTTTNNTCAAAGTGTTGAATAGTGCATCCCTGTGGTTGGGACCTGGGGACAAGAATGTGGCAAAGCCTATAGCATATGGGACATCCCAAAACCATCAGAAACCCGTATCCAAGCAACGATCGCTCTGTCAGCCAGGCGTCTCAGACATTTCCAACAAAGTCAATGCAAATTGGCAAGCAACACGTTCCGAGGAATGAAACCCGGTGGGGGTGGACCTAGATTTGAGCCACAATTGCTGTGAAATTCGCAAGCACATGCAAATCAAATTACGGGAAGAACTTCGTGCCAATGGCAATGCCAACGGCTGGTGAGCACACAGGTGCCGGGAGCCTGGGCAAGCTGGCGGATGCAGGGAACAGGTCCGCGGGCGCCTCTGCTGCAACTGCGCGTCGCGTCTTGTTAAATCTGGCGTGCGTATACACGGCCAGATTTTTTTGTTGGTTCGCCCCCTTCATTATGCGCGCCCGCCACGTGTGTTTCTGCACTCCTGTTAAAACACACGCTGTTGTTGTTACGCAAACTCCTGTGTAAGGTCGGTCTGGGTTGCATCCGTGCAAATTTCCTGGTGCTACTGCACGGTGGAAGACAGCTGACTGCCCAACTCGCCGAGCTAGCTCAACACCGTGCCGTGCTGTGTAGGGCCGAGGGTTTCATTGTATTGTCTAAGCCTGCCATTCGTACAGCTTGGGTCATGGGACGCTATGCCCGCCTGGTCACGACGGGTACAACGCCCAGAGTAGAAATGAGTGCATTATGAGAACGTTTAAGCTGACACGTGAAAGAACGCGGTCCTTATTGAGTGATGGCAAATCGTGCCAAGGGGCGCCTCAACAGTTCCGTGAGCGTGTGGGTGCGCGGTCTTGGGTTCATGAACACCATGCCTCCGGTGCTGCCAGCAGACGCGGGCTGCTGCCCTCTCA